AAAGGCTTTGCCACATTCTGTACATTTGTAGGGTTTCTCTCCAGTATTAATTATCTGATGTTGAGTGAGGTGTGAACTATGGTTAAAGATGTTGCCACATTCTTTAGATTTGTAGGATTTTTCTCCAGTATGAATTATCTGATGTCGTGTAAGAACTGAAAATGGAGTAAAGGCTTTGCCACATTCTTTACAATTGTAGGATTTCTCCTCAGTATAGATTTTCTGATGTTTAAGCTGTGAACTCTGGATAAAAGGTTTGCCACATTCGTTACATTTGTAGAGGTTTTCTTCAGTATGGATTATGTTATATTTTCTTAGATTGGATGACTGACTGAAGACTTTCTCACATTTACTTTGCTTGTAAGAGTTTTCTCCAGTATGAATGCCCTGATTTTGAGAAAGTTTCCCGGACTGGGTAAAAGCTTTTACATATTCATTACATTTGTAGGAATACTCTTGAATATGGATATTCTCAGGGTTAATAAGTTTTAAACATTGATGACAAACTTTCTCACATTTTTTACAGTTACACTGGATCTCTGAATATTGAGCTTTCTGATATTTTCTAGAGCATGAGACTGGGTCCAAGGTTTTTTCAGGTTTATTGCATTGATAATTTCGCTCATCAACATAAATATCCTGGTAATTATTTGTGGTAAAGTCCTGGGAAAAGGACATGAAAGTTTTATTGAATATGTAATGTTTGTCCCAATTATCTATTCCCTGATATTGATTAAGCAATGATGATTGGGTAAACACTTTACCATACTGATCAACATTGTAGATTTTGGTATATGATGGAATTATTATTTTTGGGTGGCAGAATACTAAAGTATTAATGAAGGACTCATCAAATTGATCACATTTAGAAGTATCCTTTTCAATTTTAAATCTCTGGTCTTCAGAAATGTTTGACTGAACACTTAATCCAATCCGGCATCCAAAGTCTTGGGTTTCTCTGGGGCTTTCAAAAAACTGGTTATGGCTTCCTTTAATATATAGTGCTGAAAAGAAATGCAGATATAGTGTAAATGACATGCTTAGTCCAGTGAAAACAAAGATGAATAATTATTACAGCAACAGAGAGACTAGAGAATGCATGGAATTCATCATGGAAGGTACAGACTAAGGGTTTTTAACAAGAAATAGGCAAACATTTTTAGTGAGAAAATATACAGGTCCTCCAGAAAAGACACATGCTGCCAACAGTTTGGAGGAGTGACTAAAATGTCTAGTGTGGCTGTATGCTGCTAAATTTCCCCTGAACAAAGCCATTCTCTAAAGGATGGAATAGGTAGCTGGTTTTTTAAATTACCCAAATCTCATTAAAAATGAAAAGACATCAAAAAAACAAAAAATATAGTCCAATAAAAGCACAAAAATAAATATTCAAGTGACCCTAAGGAAGTTAAGTTCTATGAGGTAATTTTAAAGGTATTTAAAATATTTGTCTTAAATATGTTCTAGCAGCTCAATGAGATCACAGACAACTAAATAAAAGGAAGAAAACAATGCATAAAGAAAATGATATTATTTACAGAGATTAAAACTAAAAAATTTCACAAACAGTAGGTATAAAACTGAAAAATAAAATAACTGAATTTAAAGATTCACTAGATAAGGTCAATACTAGACTTGATGTAGCAGAAAAAACACATCAAGCTTGATAATAGGCCATTTGAAATTACACTCGAGAGCAAATAGAAAAAAAATGAAGAAAAGTGAAGAGAGCCTAAGGGACTTATTACCATCAAGCATGCTAAAATATTCATAATGACAGCTCCATAACGAGAGAAGAGAGAAAAAGTTAGCAGGGAGCTTACCTGAAGAAATAATGTCTGAGAACTTTCTTAAGTTGAGGGAGAAAATACCATAAAATTTAAAGAAGTTCTACCTACTCTAACTAGGAACAATAAAGAGACCCCAAACAAGACACATCATAATAAAAGATTTAAAAGTTACAAACAAAGAGAATATTTAAATCAACACAATAAATGTGACTTGGAATGGACAAGAGCACTCCTATAGGATGATCGACAGATTTTTTTAGCAAGAAAACCTTGCAGGCCAGAAAGGGATAGTATGATATATTCAAAGTCCTGAAAAAATGACAACTACCAGCCAAGAACACCATTTCTGATAAAATTGTCCTTTAAAAATTAGTTAAAAACAAAAAATTTCAAAGATTAAAAAAAACTTTAAAAAATTAGTAAAAGCATAGATACACAAAATGAGAAAGGAATAAAAACATGTCACTGCAAATATTAACAAAATGCAAAGAAGACACCAAAAGAAAACAAGAACACACACATGGACTGAAAGTTAAAAGAATTGAAAAGTGTTATTGAATGCAATGTCAAATACTCTCACATTAAAAAAGTATATATTACATCAAAAATTGTTACAAGAGACAACAAAGGGCATTATATAATGATGAAAGAGTCATTAATCAGTAAGCTATCACAAGTAGTACTATAAATGTATCTACCATCACAGCTCCCAAATATATGAAGCAAACTTTTACAGAATTGAAGAATCAGACAGCAGCACAATAACAGCAGGTTAATTTGATACCACACTTTTAATAATGAAAAGAAATAAAAAGACAAAAGAACAAAAGGGAAACAGAAGACTTGAACATAATTATACCTAAAAGTCTTACAATGAACTCTCCACTCAACAACAGCAGAATCCACACTATTGTTAAGCACACATAGTACATTATGCCAGACAGACAACCTGTTAAGCCACAAAACAAGTCTCAACAAACTTAAGCACATAAAAGTCACACAGAGTATTATTTCTGACTACAACAAAATAAAACTATTAGTAAAAATCAAAAGCTAAGTGATATGTCCACAACTATGTGGGAGTTAAACAACAAACTATTGAAAACACTCTTGTTCAAGAGCTAAAAGACTTAATATTGTTAGTATATCAATGCTGCCCAATGTGATGTATAGATTTGATAAAAATCTATCAAAATACCAATGAAAGTTTTGGACAAGTATTAAAATATTCTAAGATGCCTAGGGAATCTCAAAGGATCAAAAAAATATTAGAATAAAAAAACAAAGAGGCATTATACTTTCTAATTTCAAAATATATTACAAAGCTACATTATTTAAAACAGTATGGTACTGGCATGAAGACAGACAGATGATGAAACAGATTAGAAAACCCAGAAATAAACCCTCATGAATATAGTCAACTTATGCTCAGCAAGGGTTCCAAAACATCACAACGGGAAAAGGACAGTCTCTTCACAAATTAAAGTTGAGAATACTGGAAATCCAAATTGGAAAAATTGAAGTTGGACCTTACCTTGTGTGCTATATACAAACAAGAATTCAAAATGCACTGACTGTTCAACAAGAAGACATAACAATTCTAAATATGTATGCACCCAACTTAGGTGCACCCAGATTCATAAAGCAAACTCTATTTGATCTAAACAAATTGATAGACAGCAACACCATTATAGTCGGAGACTTCAACACCCCACTGACATTATAGGACAGATCCTCCAAGCAGAAAGTTAACAAAGAAATAACGGACTTAAACAGAACTCTAGAACAAATGGGCTTGACTGACATTTACAGGACATTCTGCCAAAAACCACTGAATACACGTTCTTCTCATCAGCTCATGGGACATTCTCTAAGATTGACCATATT